ATCTATCTATCTATCTATCTATCTATCTATCTATCTATCTATCTATCACATTTCTCAATTGCCCATCTCCTTCAAAGAGGAACTAATCCCAGTACTGTATCATCCCATGGAATTCTAGTTTTCCATGTTTGCTGGGAAATGAGATGTTGTATTGCCAAAAGATTTGGAAGGCACCAGATTGGAGAAGGCTGCTATGGTCAATAAATTGGACCTACTATAATTGAGGTGCAAAAATTCTGTTACTATAACCTCATAATTAAAATAGTTGCTAGCTTGTGTGTCTTTGGTTTTCAAGTTTGGTCTACCTGGGAAGGCTTGACAAGTAGTCATCCAGATGTTTGCAGCACAGATCAAGACACAAGGACTAGATTCAGCTCCACAGCTTACGTTCTAATGGAATCTATCTGTGCAACTATCATTTTTTCATCCTGTCTTGTAATCCAGAGGCATGGGCCAAGGGCAGGGAAGGGCTATATCTCCCATTCTACCTGACCTTTTCTTCTTTAATTCTTAGCCCTATAGAGCATATTTATCTTTGCAGGAACGAGGGAGTACAGTTATGTTTTCAGCACTAACCCTCCTGCTAACATGGCCTTTGGCCAACACAGTCCTAAGAGTGTTTACTTAAGGGTTCCAATAATTTCAGAGAGCCTTCTTTTCCCTTACAGCCATGTAGTGAGAATTGTAGGATCCAATCTTATCTCAGCCTCCTCCATAGTGTTTCCAACAGGAGTTGTTCCTCTGCTATGACATTTTTTTTCAGTAGATAAGAGCCAATTGTTCTGAAGGACTTCCAGTTCCCCAAAATCTAATTTGCCATAGATGATGATCAAAGTTCTCATTTGTGCCGTCACGTCTTTCTTCATAACCATTTGACTAAATCAGTTTCCACACTGTTGACTTAAACTCCAGCCAGTTCAAATAATTCATCCCATGGGAAAGGGAGTTTAAAGTAGTTTGAGCTGGCCTATCGTTTACTAGAAAAATAATATTTGATTTACTAGCTGTCAGCTTTCATCAAATCTGCGTATTATATTTGACTATACTGTGAAGCCAAATTCAAATAAAGAGAAAGGGAATGGGTGAAATCAGCAAAGAGCATAGTTTAACTTGAATTGGCTCACAGTTAGGAATTAAATCAATAATCAGCTATAACAAGTACAGAGAAGAGCAATATTTTCTTAAGAGACTGTTTGGGGAATTACTCTGTAATTAGCTTTTTAAAATGTTTTTGTTGGTTTAGACCCATGTTTTTCTGATTGTTGATATCTGGGGCCCAGTGTTCTTTCACATTAAGGCAAAGGATACCACTCCTCAAATTAAAAAAAAATACTATTAAAAGATGAGTATATGCAGTTGATAAGAAAAAGAAGGCCATTGATTGGACCACAACTTATTGATTAATTATATTAATTAAACAATAGGGATAATGAATATATGGCAGGGATTAGATTCCTAAATTAAATAAAAATAAACTTAACTGTGAGATGGTAGATAGATAGATAGATAGATAGATAGATAGATAGATAGATAGATAG